AAAAAAGGCCAAAAAAAAAAAAAAAAAAAAAAAAGCATGATCCCCACCACACTTTTCAGGGTGGTGAAGGTTACCCTAGGGGTGAAAAGTGAGGGTACCTGTTAACCATTTGTGGCCCTCTGTCTCTGTGTTAGGCGCCAGGCCACTCACACAGTGTGATGATGATGATGGTGGTGTTCAGTGTGTGTCACGACATTTATTGGGCCTGATTGTTGGTATCTGTGCTATCATTGCTCCATCTTTGAGAGGTCGGTTCTTGGATCTGGTCTGCGCCATTTGGCATGTGACATCGGACTGTATTTGGACAGCACATTCCGGCCAAGTACATCATATACTCCACAGAGCCCACACTGATTCTCATCCACAGACACAGAGAGAGGAAGGGGACTTAACATCGGCACACACCAACACCATCAAGATGAAAAGCCTGTTAGAGGCCGCAGCCAAAACCCTCAAAGTGATGCCTTTTCCTTCTTTCTCTGTCTCATTCTGCCCCCCCCCCTCCCTCTCCCTTTTTAGGTTGGGTGAAATTCATCGCTTAGACTAAGTACTTGACAGGATGACACCACTTTCGACGCCACTCTTCGATAACAACCCATACATCTTCGTGTAATAAAGTCATTGGCTCACCCTTTTTTTCCCATCACACCTGATCGTGCATCCCTTTTAAATCTCTTTTTTCATGGCCAGTATTTTATTTATTATGTCAGGATCGGGACCATTGGGGAATTTATGCCCCTGCTGCCTTCCTTGGTTGTGGTACCCATCCCTTCTAAATCTGACCGGGGGCCAAGTCCCACTAGCAGCGTTGAGCTACCTCAACGCCTGAATCTGGACGTGTTTGTGGAGACGTGCAGTTCAGGAAACTCAACACCATTTCTGCACATCTCCGCAAAAGGGACCACATTCAGGCGTTGAGGTAGCTCAACGCAGCTAGTGGGACTTGGCCCCGGGGGCTTAGAAGGAAACTTTGTCTTGGCCACCTCTGACATCTTCGAGTTTGATCATCTGCGCTGATGAGCCGGTGACTCTGTGAAAGTCCGACTGGGATGGAATGCAAAAGTAACGAACTCAATAAATTAATTTATTAATACACAACCAACATCATGGATGCTGTGATATAACAATTCGGTAATGATTATTCATTTGAATCTTTTATTGTAGTTTTTTTAAATTGTTTGCATATGCGATATTGCCAATCTCGATGAACATGTTCCCTAGTTTGTCTACCTTGGTTTCCTTAGCACGCACACTCAAAAAATCTTGGACATCTTCTACTGCATCTGGCCGTAGTTACAGTCATCGGGTAAATACTAAATATATCGCGTCAAGGGGAGTCCTAGTGCGAGTGAGTCCATAAAAATGGTTGATGTCAAGAGATTCAAATAAATAGCTCATTGGTCAGCCGCCTGCAGTTGGTCGCCTTGTTGCAGCGTCTGATGGATTGTGATGGATTCAAGCAGCTGCCTCTAAGTGTGGATGTGATGACATGTGATTTGGATCTGTTCCCATGGCTGTCGATGGGACAATTTCTTCTCACGTGCAGATTGGTTTGAGATGGCGGTCGCACAGCCCCAGGTGGTTCTCGGCGATCTGATCAGCATCATTAACCCTGCAAAGGCAACAGGGCAGCGCACGTTCTTCAGGAACCTGGCAAAGGTAGGTGTTTTCATGAGTTCTTCCTTCGATTCGTATCGTATATAGGACGTCGTTGAAATGTGGAAACTGAATATATAACAACTAAGACATGCGTTTTCCAGCAGGTGATGCTCCCCACCAATAGATGTAGCCCTCCCCGGTGCTAGTGGTGTCTGCTCTTACCAGCACCACTAACACTAGCGGTTTTTTTTTCAAAACAACAACAACAACAACAACAACAACTAAGACATGCCTTGTTTTTAAATGAATGAAAAAAGCCAGACCTCATAATGAGATTGACCGATGGCACTTTCCATGGCAAGGCACCCCTACAGCTGCCGCCTCATCATTGCAGCTATCGTCAATTGCTAGCCCAAAGACACTTAACCAACTTTGAACTCAGGACCATATTGACTCCTCAAGGTTGGTTTCAAGGGTGGGCTGGAAATAGTCTTAGGCCTGTCAGGTGCGCTTGTAAGACACTGAGGGAGGGAGGGAGGGAGGGAGGGAGGGAGGG